ATATTAATATTACTGGTATTAATATATTTTTTTTATATTTTTGAGTATTATTTTATTTTTTTTAAATAGTATTTAGAAATGTAATTTATAAAGAATTTTAAATAAATATATCGGAATAATATGTAGTAATATGTGTGTATACTTATATACCGATAAGACCTTCAAGAAAAGATCGTACTCCTTTTTAAAAGGCCGGCAACGCACTTGTGACTCCTCTGGTGTTGTGGATGTCCATGGGCGGCGCTGATCGCTGACCATCAGGTGATCCGTCAGCTCGTTTGCCTCCTATTCCATAAAAAAAAGTAATACTGATATTAACAGGGGTAGGTTATAGTCTGGAATTAGACATACGCCAATTTTTATTTTACGGACACGCGAGCGAATCCGCCGGCAGAAGCTAATACCAAAAAATATTATTATTCACATTCACAAAAAAAAACTGGCTACCGGCAAAAAATATTTTTTGGTCATAAGTTACCTACGGGTGTAAAGTCGTGTAAAATTAAGATATAAATGTGTCTATAACTCATGTTGTAATAAATTCATGTGTAAGTTTTGAACATTAATTTTTCGTTGCGAAAAGAAAGTTGTAAAAACGGTCATGTTTTCTTGTTATTTCATAATAATTGCTACTTGGAGACGGAAGGCAGATGTGTGTGACTACGTTTCAAATTTTACGTGTTGCTTTTGGTTTCGCCACTATGAATACGGAGTTGGGGAATTTTCTGACTGGGAAACTTCTGTGGGATAGATGACAATGGTAAAATTGTAGAATCGCAATTTTTTTTATAGTCCAATCATGCTTTTGAAAAAGTATAATTTAAATGAAATAGAAAGTAAATAGATGGTTGCTTCAGAATTTTCGTAACAGACATTTATAATTAATAGAGATCTTTTGTACATATTGTATCAAAAGATCCGAATCCAAATTATTTTAGTCTTATTATGTTGTCGGCTTACTTTACTAGAGTAGCCGTCGCGGGTCGCGAAAATCTCCTCATGAATATAAGCCTCTAGAATGGCTTGAAACTAGTCGAGTTCCTCGTCAAATTACTACGTGAGTAAGCCGAAAGCATAATAATTTATTTAGTATGTCTCACGAAAGTTACAATACAAATATTTTAGTCTTATGAATACAAAGATTTGAATATCGCCTTTAGTTCTCTTCTGTACTCCTCTTTCTACAAATTCTTTGAATAGTTAAACTAAACTGAACCTAATGTGTTTTACTCAACGAAAATCGAATTTGACGATAAAGATACGCTTTTTCTTACTTCCTAAAGTATTTAAAAAATTGTCACCGAAATCTCAAGTCCGAAGTTTAACCACCACCCAAGAGCAGTGTCCAGTAATTCCCCTATAATTTGAGGGTGGCCACAACAACGCAGATTGTTCCCGAGATAGAGCGACGCACTCGGACAAACACTTTGGTGCACTAATTACTTACACCTGGAATTATTTCTTGTTTTTTTATTATTTATTATAGGTTACACTCATTTGCGGTTTTGTTACTCACATCCGTGTAAGAACATTGGGCTATTGTGTTTTCGAAATTTACTACCTTAATTTTTTTATTATTTTAAAAGGAAATTATTGATGGTGAAAGTTTATATGACAAATACATTATTTTTATAATGATAACATGTAATTGTTGTGGTAAATATATTTACGTAAGCCACCTCTGAATGATAGGTACACTATGTATTTAACTCGTCGAGTACCGGTATTGTAGACACAATTATAGAACAATAGGTTGCGGTCACCGGTGACCGCTTGGTGTTTGACAGTTTAAATTAATATGTTTTCGGCTTACTCACGTAATTGTTTGACGAGGAACTCGACTAGTTTAAAGCCATGCTAGAGGCTCATATTCATGAGCAGCATTTCGCGACCTGCGACGCGGCGACTGTCGCGCTGCTACTGTCCTCGTCAAATTACTACGTGAGTAAGCCGAAAACATAATAATTTATTTAGTATGTCTCATTAAAATTACAATCCTGTATTCAGTTTATTTTATTAAATAAAGTGAGTTTCATATGTATTGCAACCAGCAACCAGTCTCCGAGAGACAGATTGCATCGTCATTAAAACTATCGTTGACCTAATTGTAATCTCATTATTATTCATATAAAAGCTTCACATGAAATATGGGCGCAAGTTTTTTTGTTTCCAATCCAGCGTTTGTGTTATTTTTGAATATACAGATATCGGAACGCCCTAATAAAGTAATCTAGGTAAACCAGGGACGTTCTAATATTTCAGAAAATCTGTGAACAGCTATAGGTATAATAAGTGTTTGAAATGCAGTTTTAACCTCTTGAATGCACCAATATGACACATAATAGAAAATACATTGTATCTCCCGTGGATCCTCGTTTTAAACACACGAAAGGTTAAGAGTTTAAACATTATTCAACGCCAAACCGAATCATGAAGTCCCTTCATCTATGGTTGACGAATCAGACGGACTCGGTTATGGCTAAATATACCCCAAAAGTATCATGATTTATTATACTTCTTTTTCATTTGCTACTTCTCAATATTGTCCTAAAATAATTGTAAAATAAATCCTTAATCTTTCAAACAAAATTCAAAGTCCACTATTCAAAAAAACTGTCCACAAAGTCCATTTTCCCGTATCTAACAGCTAGACTAGTTAATACATTACTACGCTTGTTATAGTTCAGTTTACTGAGCAATGAGCGTCGCATATAAGCGCGTCGGACGCATAGACAGACGTATCGTGTTTAAATACCGTGTCGTATGTCGCTATGTCCTGTGTTTGTTGGCAAGTTATAAGTGAGAGCGGTTGTTAGAGTTAGAACTAATGATTTGGTGAGTTGAGGTATTTGTGGTCCTTCGGTACGCGATAGTAAGGTCCTACGAAGGAAACTCTTAAATAGTAAAGTTTATAGTACAGAATCTTTATCATTCTGTAATTACTGAGTTAACTACACGGTTGGTGCGGTGGCTGGGTAACCGGCTGCCGTGCAACGTGTAGCGGGTTCGATTGCCACACTGATCAACTCTTTGTGCGGGCCACAAATTGTTGTTTCGGGTCTGGGTGTGTTGTGTATGTAAAATTTTATGTTAACAACCCACGACATAGGAGAAAATCCTAGAGTGGAGCAACGATTATTTAAACAATAAAAAACAAAAAACAATTATCATTAGTTAATGATGATGAGTCAACAGCCTATGACAGTCTACTAGTCTACTCCTCGAGTGTGGGGCCTTCTGTATGTAGGAGAGAAGAGGACTTGATAGGCAGTTTTTTTATTTTTTTTTAAGGGTGGAAAGTGGTGAGGCGGGAGGGAGGGAGTATCAGACTATTACTGACTAAAAACCACCCCGTTCCTTCTCCTGCACATCGAGCCGGAGCCTCGGTAAGCAGTTCAAAAGTTTCAAGTTTATACAGAGCGCTGCTGCCCTATTTCTGTTGAATGTTCTGTCAACTGTAATCCCTCAGAAGCACATTACGGCACTTAATGCTACTAAACAATGCAACACCCACTTTTCACTATTTATGCTACGAGTCCCATGTAATATGGGGTGAACATATTGTCATATATCGGTCACATTTCCATACTCCGTGCTACTACTGAGATTATTTTCAAAAACTGAATAATAATTTACCCGAGACCCGCGGCAGTCGTACTTGCGACCACTCGGCCAAAGAGGCAGAACAGATTATTAGAAATACTACAAAGGTAATTTAACCGCGGTTCTCTAGTACCTTGCACCGATACGATGCGCCAGACAGACAGACGGATGGACATGTAGCATGACGGGCGGTTACAGCTTCGCGCTCGATAAATAACACTAATATCACCTTGTACATTGTAATGTGTTACATACGTATTTATTTCAGTGTTAGTCTATTGAAAAATACAGTTTCACTTTCCTTACACATAAAGTGATGTTTTTATGATCTTTATTTTGAAGTGCAGGAGTAGGAACGGGCTGGTTTTAAGTCAGTAAGAGTCTGATACTCTCTTCCGCCTCACCCGGGCGGGAGAAGTCATTTGATGATTTCCCCCCTTAAAAAGGCCCGAATTCTCAATGATATCTCTCAATCTTTAGAATTTCCCGACCAAGACCAACTTTGAAATATTTTAAAAATAATAATTTACTTACTTATCAAGTCGTGTTCTTGGAATATATGAATATTGCAATCAAGTCAAATACCTAAATATTTGATATTATACTTACTTATCGTTCGATATTTCGATTAATTCGAAGTCAAGTTTTATCAGTTATGAAACGCAAAAGTCAAGTTTTTGTTTTGTTCTAGAAGTCTTTGAGGGAATTGTAAATTGCTACAGTAAAAACAGCAAAAACAACAATTTCATTAGTTTGTGTTAAACGCTAATAAATCCTTAGCAAAAGTGGAAAAAAGAGATAGTTTCCAACCAATCATCCGTAAACAAAACAGTTTCCTTAAACCCGTACATGCATATTTAATAACAGAAATGAATAATTCTATTTTCCCCACCGAACACAGATATTTGCATTTCATTCCAATTTCTCTTTTAATCAAACGTATTAAAGTATCAAATAGGCGACTCGGCGACCTTCTTATTAAGCTTACAATTTCCTCGCTGCCTATAACATCCACGAATCTATATGCAACGTTATCTATTTAACAGTCTTTAGCTCTCCGCCCCGAGAATACTCGACATTCACCAACCGACACGAATAACCAATCAAATAGCTTTTATTCCTATTAAAACAAGGTTGAAAACCGTTCGCACCATCTTATTAATCCGTTACAAACGTCGTCCGATTAACAAAGAGCTGTGAAAATTGTTGGATTGCGTCTCTGAAGTCTGATTTTGATTTGGTCCTTCGGGGCGTGGTAGGTCAAGAGAAACTGGTCCTTCTAGTAGGTATGAGGGAAGTGTGAAGAAGCTAAGAGGTGTATCCCCTCCGGTTCGGTCGCGGTGGGCGGGGCCACGGACACGGTCCGTCCGTTACAACCGCTCCACGCATCGCGCCGAGCTTACGCGTGAAGCACAACCGAACGCACGCTTTTTGAATTCGGAACTGGCGCTTTCATGTGTTTTCTTTTTTCGTGTGAATTCGAATTTGGAATTAATTTAGTTTTTTGTTCTGTGAAGTTTGAGTTGGTTAGAAACTTTTTTGTCAAGGACTCTTTTGTAGTGAACTTTTTAAACTGAATAATGGACTTGAAATTGTTTTAATTAGAATTTTTTGAAACAGTTTGTTTTGGAGTGAGAGGGTGAGTATGATGATTTTACTAATTTTGTATTCTAGTGTTTTTATATTTAAGGTCTTCTAATAACAGCCTACAAATAATTATATGATTAATCTCAAGGTAGTGGATAAGAAATAAATACATATTGTATAGGACAAAATGTGTCAGCACGGAAAAAATATTTTCATAAAACACTACAATTATTTAGCAAAACAAAGAATCCAATGAATAAACAAAACCAAAGTAAAACATAATGAAGAATTCGATTTATTTCGTTATCCTTTGAACTTTTTTAATTATCTCATTTACTGTCAAGAAAAAGACATCAACGCGCGCTCCCGATGTCTTCACTGATAAGAATGATCTTTGAAGTTGGCTCGCCGCATACGAAAATCCCTATTTTAGGGGACTTTTACGAACTTATTTATTTTGACTTGTATTTACCGTTTCCGAAACCAGTGGGTTGATATTGGAATGTTTTCTTGAACGCAGTTTTTTTTCGGCACGTTATTTTTGTGTTGCATTGTAATTTATTTCACGAAACACATTTCGTTGTATTATTATTACTATCTTATTATTATTTTTTTTTATTCTTGCATTAAAATTTTCGATGAATTATGTTCTTTATGAAATAATAAGAATTTTACCTGAGGCCTTTAAAATCTTTTTTGCTATATCTGCAAAAATATTCATCTATATAATTTCTTATACATATAGGTCTTCTTATACATTATACTTGGAAAACCCTTTCCCCAAACTAACCAAACCAACAGTATCGGTTTCAGGCTGGTTAAGAAAATTATAAATTCATACATAAGGCACTACTAATACCTAGGTTTATAGCCTAGAATGGTAAATGGTGTTAGTTAGTCAGTCTATACATCATCGTCATATTAGTCAAGGATCACCCACTGCTAGGTTTTCATAGTTTTTCTGCTATATATTCGGTTCTAAACCACCCATTCTAATTTTAATGCTATTATCAGCCCCTCCATGAATATTCTTGCAAAAATTGAATGGTTTATGATGGCTTAGATTCAATTACAAAAGAGTTTAATTTAAAACATATCTAATTGTATAAATAGGCAAAAATAAAATCCTTACCAGGTCTGGAGAGTAAATGGCAGTCACTCCATATAAAATATAGAAATCCAGCCAGATCTGGTAAAGACTTAGTGCCGACTCTAAAAGCTAAAGATCAGAAGAAAGAGAAGACACATAATTAAATAAGGTTTTGCACAAAGATTAACTTCTGGTCTTTCGGAACGCAAATATTAACTAAAATTAGAATATTTTTTAATCCCATTTAGTGGTAGGCGGAAGGCCAAAGCTTTGATAAATGACAAAGGAAAAAGAGTCAATTTAGATTTTTTGTTGCAAATGACTCAAATAGCATTAGAAAAGTACATGTAATGAACATCTTTTCTCGACAAACAGGAGTGATATTGTAGTATCTACGTAAGTACAACCAGTATAGGTTTTATGGCCATCATAAGACAGAGCCTACAGTTAATCCTAATGAAAAACTACCTTTATTACAAACACTAATGAATCCATGAAAACAGTAAGAGTATTCATTAATTTAAAATCTTCAATAACGTCTAAGCATTACTTAATTAAAATTATACATAAAAAAATCTTTATCAACTACTTAAACCATGAACCGTAGAGGAATATTTTTTTAAAAACATAGACAATTATTATAACCATGTGTACCTTTTTACCGTCACGGTGTGTCACTCCGTGTGACTAAAGTTCCCTTGTCTATTATCAGCTATTGTTTTAGTCTGTGGTACGCTTTTTAATCTGTGCCTAGCTAATTTTATGGATCAAGAAATAAGCGGGTGCGATTGGCGTGGAAAATTCTGATCGTAAGATTGTGAGTGCAACTATTTTAATTGAAGTCTTTAGTTTTATTTCCATGTTATTTTAAACAGGATCTAAATTTATTACATCAGTAATTTTAAATTAACTTAAACCTTTAATCCCAGGTTACTCACATGAACATACTGAGAAAAGCTCTACAGGTTACGAACCACAGAGGGACTCTTTCTCATGAGCAGCTTGCGCTGTCAAGCAAGCTGTGTGACTATACCGCGACCGAGCTTTTCTCAGTATATTCACGTGAGTGACCCGTGATTTTTAGTTAATTTATTATTTATTATTATGTTATGTGATCTATAAATTCTTTTCCAATTATGTAACACCAAACTTCAAAATAGATACGTAGTCCTAATATCCTTAAATACAAATCATGATATTTTTTAACCACAATCTCCTTTTTATCACTACTCAAAAAATAAAAAGCTACACAAGATTGTGCATATCAATATACTATCAGTATTTTTACAAACGGTTAAAACCAAATACCACAGTCCGAAAAAATCTTCCATAAACATTAAATAAAAAAAATCAGTAAACAGTTAGTTAAAAGCGTCTAACCTTACACCAGACATCAAAGCGAAGCGGCGACTTTGATCGAACCGCTTAATTCGCAGTGGATAAATGCGAATCATATAGCTTTACATGGTTTGATACACAACTCTAAAGTTCCCACCGACAAAGCAAACGTTAATAATTTCGCAGTGTGAATGACTTTACTACTAGTAGATGTAACTTAGATATATAAGGAAATTTTTGCTCACTAGAGATTGAACTGTCTGCATACATACATACCTATATACATAACTTCACGCCTGTCTTCCATGTAGGCAGAGACTATGGAATGCCAATCGCTACGATTCCTACATAGTGTATTTCCTGAAGGTGTCTTCAAGGCCTTAGTGAATAGGTTGCTTAAAGGACGACGTGCTCTATCGTAGACCATATCATCGTTTACCACCAGGCGAGCTAGTGGTCAAACGTCAGCCCATCAAATATATAAAAAAATCTTTTTATAAACTTTCGCTTCATCAACAGTCATCAGTCTTTTCATGCACGCTCGTCGGTTAAGGGTACTTTTAATTTGGTCTTTTTTTAATATATCGCCATTCTGGTCAATATATATGTCTTCTTAAAACATAATGAACTGTCTGCTTAAAACATGAATGGAGATTTTATCTGAAATTCTTCAAAGATAGCCTCTTTTCACTATTTTTTGTTATTAGGCCTCTGTAACGGTAGTTATCCTTTTTGAAACCTATCGATTGCCACTTTCCGTTGTCATTTTTCATAAGTTAAGATTATGCAGGACTTTACTCCCCAAGAGAGTACACAGTGGCGCAGATTTTACAACACCTAATAGTTATATTTCAAGTATTATGTTATAGTGGTTTATTGTCGCATACCAGGCACTTAAAGAATTATTTAAGTACAAATAAATACTTCTTTATGAATTTGTCATTACATTTCAATAGGTACTCAAAGGACCAAATTGGTTGCAGTTTTTGGTCCTTCGAACCGAAGACAATTATTACTCAACTTTTTACATAAAAATAAATAAAGCTATGTGATATTAAACGGCATACTATATCAACTCCTATTAGAGTGACTGTGCATAAATTAATCGATTGATTTATTATTTACCACGTTATTATGAAATCAGTCAATTTATTCAGGCCGCGCCCTAGACAGGCAACCTCGCTACAATCCTTGTTGACTGGTCAATCTTGTAAACGTTATGCACTGATAAATATGTCGTATACATAGCTACATATGGGTGTGTTGTGCATATGAAATTATCACTACATGGTATAAAACAAAGTCGCTATCTGCCGTCTGTCTGTCCCTATGTATGCTTAGATTTTGATGCGGTTTTTTTAATGCATAGAGTGATTCTTAACTCGTCGAGTACCGGTTTTGTAGACACAATTATAGAACAATAGGTTGCGGTCACCGGTGACCGCTTGGTGTTTGACAGTTTAAGGAAGGTTTATATGTATAATACATACATGTTGTACCCATGCAAAGTCAGAACGGGTCGCCAGTTTGTTTAAAAATGAAACCATGACATTAGAAAAACGTTTGTGTGGAACAAGAAGCTTGCAATAGCACCTCCGATGTTGCGGATGTCCATGGGCTACGATGGTATCTTATCATTTGTCTTCCTATACTTGCTAAAATAAGTGGATTATTCAGTAAAATCTGGAATATTTAGATATTGAAATCAAACGGAGATCATAAAAAACCTTCGCTATGTTTTACAGAAAATTGCACACTTTTTACTTTTCTAATTATTATTTAACCCTTCAATAATTCTTTTGACATCGATTACGAAACGCAAACGGTCCCAAATAGCAGCACTAGTCCAAGATATAAATGTTCAGTATATTTATTAAGTATTTACTGAGTTTTATGCACGGAGGTGTCGTAAAAATTAAGCGGGGGCTGGACTAAGCCGTTTAGTCGGCTAGACCTGTGTTAGTACTGTATTTAAACGTACCATATTATAATTTTAGGATTAGTTGTGATATACACGGCTATATTAAACGTTTGTTATTGTGTAGATAGTTTAGGAGTAACTTGGGACTTTCGAAATACTCGTTCATTTCTGAAGCATTTGTTTCATAAATTATGAGTTCATGGTACCTTATTTTAAAAAAAGAGTGCTTTAAAATAGGTACATAGTTTTGTACCAATAGCGATTTTAAGTTCATAGAAAATGTTTTCTAAGACAATGGTTATAAAGTTCGAAATTTAAATTAACTCCTATTGCTATTTTGAAAAAAGATACTGATCAAAGACCTTATTCAGATTCTAGTTTCAGCTATTTTTTATGGAGCAATTTCTTAAACGTTTTTGCTTATTAGTAATGAAATGGGTAACAAAAGTTTTTAAAATAATTTTACCGATGTTTTCTTTCTTACGCTACAGTACACTGCTCATTATGTTCATTACCCAAAACCTTTCTTCACAAAGCGATTGCTGACCAATAATAATTTAAGTTACTTAGCGCTAACTCGTGCTTCCTTCAGCTACTGTAATCAAAGTATCGGTGTCGATTCCAGTGGTCGCGTGTTCTCCACACTTCGTCTGAACATAACGAGCCAGTAATCAGCAGCTCGCACTTTTAGCACCCAATTTTC